TGCTATGAACTGGCTTTACCAGTATTTCTCCTGTGCCAAGTGTACAACCTTTCTTTTCAGACGAACAAAAAGACTGGCAAACCTATGATAAATCTTTATACAGATAAGGATACTGGCAAACCAAAGGGAGAAGCAACGGTATCTTTTGATGACCCTCCTTCTGCTAAAGCAGCAATTGACTGGTTTGATGGTGGGTGAGAGTACCTGTTCTTTTTGTTATTTATGAATCTAACAAGCAGTGGAAGAAGCAAATCAATAACCTCATTGGGGACCCCGTGCTACTTCTTGTTTGGCTTTTGGTTTTTGGTTTGTCTTTTTTTTTTTTTTTTTTTTAAACAAAGACCTCTATTTCATGGTATTTTGTGTGTGCTGGCTTCCTCTCTCATTTGGTGGAACAGCAGCTAGTGATTAAGACCGAAAATGTGTAATGAAACTGTTAGGGTTTGCTGCTGTACCTCAGTCATCCCTGCACGAGGTATGAGAGATGGTGTTCATGTCACTCGGGAGAGCGTAACTTCATGTTCAGACCAATAGAGCTGTAACCTGTGTTAGCAGCTGGAGGGATTTCCTACACTGTTAGTATTGATACTATTACTGCTGTGGTAGCATTTTTAGTGTTTGGCAGTGGTTATGGCAGTCTTGTGCCAAGTGCTTTGTATATACGCAGTGAAGAACAAGGGTTTTTGAAATTACAGGTTCAGTGGAGGAAGAGAGCAGATCCCAGAAATACATTGATATAAAGCTCTTCGGACTTGATGCAGGAAATACAGTGATACTCTTGTAGTAGTAAACTTGGCGGGGCGGGGAGTGCCTGCTTCTGTGACCTTGTGTGTTCACAGAATTTTAATAATATGGGGCAGAAACAAAAGGACATACTCTGCATCTGGTGTGAAATGATAGTGCGTAAAAAATCTGGCATGGCATGCTACTTGATGATTTATATTTTGCTAAAAAAATGCAAATTTACTTTTGTTTAGGAGGGTAAAGCAAATATGACTATATTAGCCACACGTGCAGTCCTGTTCGTTCTGTGATAAACCTTGTATCTGTGAAAAACTGAGACTTTGTATTTAAAAAGTTCATGTTTTTCACTTACTTGGGGGTATTTAATTTTTGTGCTGGCTGTTGAATTGTACAAAAGCGGTGTTGCCTGACTTGGGAAGAACAGAGTTCTAACATCCAAACTGCTTACCCGTGAACACGGCCAAAAATCTCTTAAAAGTTCTTATGTGTCTAGTTAAATTGCAACTTAGATTGCATTTAAAGTGAGAGAAATATCTGTGGGTTTATGGAGAACCTAGCGAGTACCTCAGTGTTTGCAGTCTCACATTTGGACCAGTGTTTTCAAAAATAAAGAGATTTACTCCAGACTCCCTGTGTCTTAAGAGCTTTGCATTCAGTCTGTATGTGCAAATCACCTCTGTTCTTCTGGACTTGCTGCTGTGTTGTTGGGAGCTGTATTGATCTTTGTCTCGCTTTCTGCCTTTCCACAGGAAAAGAATTCAATGGCAATGTTATCAAAGTTTCTTTTGCAACTAGAAGGCCTGAGTTCATGAGAGGAGGTGGAGGTGGCGGACGTCGAGGTGGGACTAAAATCTGTAGAAGCCTTGTTTTTGCACAGTTAAATGCTTTTTAGCTATTATCGGTTTATAAAAGAGAAGTTGACTTTGAAGCAGTGATTCATCGAAGTATATGGGCCTTTGGGATTCTGCCATGAAAGGGAGTAATAAGGATTGAACCAAGTTAAGTAAACTGAAATCTGTAATCTCTTTTGCACAGCATAGAATTTATGCTTTCCTTTTGAACTGGAAAGTCTCCAGATCATGTCTCAGCATTGCTTTTAAAGAGATAGTCTAACAATGATGTTGAGGCTGTACAGGTTCCACGTATATAGGGGTGAATTCCCAGTGCGTATTTGCTTATTACAGCAAAGCCTTGAGATACTCTGATGTTTCCAGATGGTATTAAGCAGGGTAAATTATTCAATTGGTACTGACTTAGAGCAGCAGCTGGATGTCTGACTCCTTTAATTAAATAGATGTTAATCTCCCTGATTCTCTGCATAATACAGTTTTGTCAGGAGTCCACTGGATATTAATTACCATTTTACAGGAAGCATGCGTTGTGCGGTGGCTGTCAACAAATTTTCGTTCTTAAATCAAGCAGTTTTGTAGGCTGATAAAAAATGATAGTTCAAGAACTTCAATTGATATAAAAGTTCTTAATCTTTTTGATGCAGAAAGCAAGAACTATGTTGTCCCTGTGCTTGTGTCAGATGCATCCTGGCATTAATCCAGACAGATTTTTTTTTTGTTAAATTTTCGTTCTGTGACTAAGTCTGGCCTTATGTGATTGATACTATACATTGTTAAATCTTTATGAAATTTTATTAATGCACATAGTGGGTTTATATTTACCCATTGGCAATTCAAGCGGATCAAGTTTCCTTTTACTCCTGAAAAAGAATTTATAAAAAATATGTGGTGGAGCAGATTTTTCTGGCCACCATGGGCTATCCTTGCTTCTTGTTTTTCCTCATCTGCCTAAATTACAAATCTGTCCATATGAACGTGTGTTTCAGCTATGCAGATAACACTAACTTCAGGACATCAAATGCTGTTGAGATTTGGCGGTGGCTGAAACTTCCGTTGTCATTTGCCCAAGTCTTCTAGCTATCTTGTAGCTAGTAGTAAATCAGCTAGTAGATGCTGAATTCTAGGGTGGTACAATTTTTTATCATTGGCACTACCTGCTTCTTTCAGAGTTCCTAATATGGTTTCAGAGGCTTGCCTAGTAGGGATATATTTACATAAACACTTACTCTTTCTTCCACCCGAAAAGTCCGTCTGTCACTTGGGTTCTGAAGCCGGTGACAGTCCTTAAGAATGTTTCTCATGTACAGGTCATAGACACTTCACCTCCTTTATTCTGACTATAATTTTGTCTACAGGTTCACGAGGTGGATATGGAAGAGGTGGGGGCTACCAGGGTAGAAGTGGGGAACCCAAAAATGGTGATTGGGTTTGTCCTAACCCGTAAGTGTCATTTTAATTGGGTGGTGGTGTTTCACGTATGCTCTCTGAGTTTCTTAGCAGCTAAGTCTGGGGAATCCTTGTCTTTTCTAGGGCCTGTGGTAATATGAACTTCGCTCGCAGGAATTCCTGCAACCAGTGTGGTGAGCCCAGACCAGAAGATTCACGTCCATCAGGAGGTGTGTAAAAACAATGGCCTCTCTCCCGAAGTGTTAGAACTGTTCACGGCATCTGCAGCTTTTTGAAAAACCTGGCTGATGTGTCGGTTTGCATTTTCCTCCAGATTTTCGTGGGAGAGGTGGCTATGGAGGAGAAAGAGGATATCGAGGGCGTGGTGGCAGAGGCGGTGATCGGGGAGGTGGCTATGGTGGTAAAATGGGAGGAAGGTAAGCAGTTTCTTTGCCCTTGCTTGGTTGTGTAGCATACAGACTGTGGAATTGATAAGGGACTGCGGGAAAAGAGTTGTTTGTGTGTGCACGCACAACTGTGCTATGAAAACATGAACTACAGATAGGAGCTTCCAGAGAAAGTAGGTCAGTTTGCCTGTTGAGTGTGTTTTGTGAGCGTTTTTGGATAAGGCTATCTAAACATAGAAGAATACGCAGAAGTCGGCGTAGAGATGTTTGACTGAAGGGACTATTTGTTATTTGCTTAAGGGATTCCTTATAACTTCTTATTTCCCTTTCAGAAATGATTTCAGAAATGATCAACGCAACAGACCATACTGAAGACCACTGTGAATGTTTTGTTTGTCTTCTTGATGCGTTTGATAGTGAAATTGCCAGAGTTTTGCCTGCTGCTTCACCCATGGCCTCTTTGGATAGTGGAATTGAGTGAAACTAGATTTTTATTTTGGTGGGAGGGACTGGGGTGGTTTGGGAGGATTTTTTTTAAGCAAGACATTGAAATTTAATCTTGATTTCAACATTCTCCTCTTTTCTTCCCCCCGTACCTTTTCAACAGGCCCTAAGAAGGAAAAGGATAAACTGTAAAATATTGCCAAAATATGAGAAGTGTTTTGTAATACAACAATAAATGCTGATTGTTTTATTTGTGAAATCTTACTGTTTCACAATTACTTCAGTTGCATGTGTTTCCTTACATACTCCCTGTCTTCCTGTGGTCTGACCTAAGCAGTAAATAGGGTCTTGTTTGAAATGGCACTGCTGCTTTGACCCTAGCTCTGTGCTGTTTGCAAAAATCTGCAGTTAAGTTGGTGGCGAGCCTACTTGCTATCCATGCCCTCTACCCCAGGCTTGCAGACTTGTCCCTTGCTCCTTTCTTATTTCCCTCTGAGACTGAAGTCCTGTGTTGCCGGTGTTTCCTGCTGGCATGCTTTGGTGTGCCCTGCAGCCTTCATGAGGAGCAGGCAGATGGCAGTGTGTTCTCGTGCTGCTAAGGAGCATATTGTGTCCAGGCCAGGATAGCTCCAAAAACAAGGTGGGACGGCTTAAAAAAAAAAAAAAAAAAAGGTAATTTGCTATGTATTTCTGTACCTTTTAATTGCTGCTTTTGAAGTGTGGGTGATGGCAAACAAGCGTTGTGTGCAGCCGTTTCATCTTCGAAAGATGCAGGCGAGGTTCAGTAGACACATTGTAAGCACGTGGGATTCAGCACTGAAGCCAAGGTTTGAAGAAACGAGGTTAATTATCGCTTCTCCTCAGACTAGGTCACTCTGCACACTGCAGAAGTGGGTTGGTGGGAATCTGTGAAAAGCTAGCACTGCTGCAGTCACCTTGTGTCCAGTGCTACCTTTTCATCTGGAGTCTTTTAAGAGGGAATGTCTGGTTGTCCAATATTCCATTGGGCAAAATACTACAAATCCAAATTCTCAGGGTCTGTAGTTACAGTCTTGATAATTGGGCACACAGCTGCACAATATCCATGGCCTCTCGCAAAGAAATGAACAAAAATAGCTTTTGTTAATGTTTGTAAGCCAGCTCCCTAGTTTGGTGTACATTCATGGTCATGGTAATGGTGAGTTCAAATCAGCCATTACCCATGGCTGGAAATGCAATAACTATGCTGTGCCTTTTTAAGGTTTCTCCTGGAAAGCACAGGTACTGTCGCTGCTGTCAGAAAAGGCATTTGCCACGAATTCTGGATGGCTTGTTCCTCTTAAAACAGTGGAATTTGAGGTATGTGTATTAGTGACATTATAAAATTTAATGTGTGGGTGAGGCTTTAGAAAGGCAAACTGTAGACAAATAAATTCAGTCTGTTGTTTTGCTTAAGATTTAAGATCTGAGGCCTGATACTCCTAACTTGGTTCTGTCAAAAATGAGCCGGGCTAGAAAAGTTGGAGTGTTTATCGTTTTTCAGCTAGCGTGATGATTTTGAGTGAATCGGGCTAGAGGGTGCTCTTCCACGTAGCTGCCTTGGCAGATCTGAGGGAGTGGTGGCTGCTGGATGGAGTGGGAGAGGAAAGCAGCGATAAGCAGCTGAGAACAGAAACGGGATGTGTCACTGCCTAAGGTTTCTTCCCCAACATAGCTGCGCCGGTGCGTTGCACTGCGCGAACACCTCCTTGGGGCCGCACCTTGAGCCCTCAAAGCTGTGCCGGGAGAGGGAGGAACGGCTGAGCTCAGCAAAACCCAGCAGCACCGAGGCAGGCGCGGTGTCGCCTGTTTGGTCCCACGAGTTTCCCGGTGGGGCTCTCGCCTTTTCCCTCCCTGGGGAAAGGAATGGTGGTTGAAAGAGCTGGTACTCTCAGTAGTGGGAGCAACAGTTCTAGCTTCCTTTAATGCTGACTCAACTTCCAACCCCGCTTTCTCCCCCAGGCTGAGAGCACTTACGTCTTTAGATAGTCACTACCCAGCTGGATTAGTAAGTAGACCAGTATTCAAGTAAGCCACAAAACTGCTGGAGCTGTCACCACCTTCACAGCTCTTCCAGCCTGGCAACGATGCTGAACGTTTGTTTTGTTTATGTTCTGTTCTGCATCGGGGCAAAACACAACCTGTGTTCTTACACGTTTTTTTAAGACAGTGAAGACATCCTCTTCACCAGCTGTTTCGTCTTACAGAAAACTAGCAGGTCAGACAGAGAAAGGGTAGTGCTAGTTCGATGGCATGTATGGTGTTTAGTTGCTTTTGGTGTAGGGAGAGTTAAATTAGTTTAGGGAGGCCTGGGAAGTGATGTTTTGTAAAAGATGTAAACCCCGATGACGGTTTAACTATGTCATTGCCCTCCAACTGTTTCTGGTAAGTCCTTTAGCACTGCAGTTTTTTCTCAGCAACTGCCTAAAGTTCGGAAGGGTAAGCTTTAATGAGGTTAAAAGAAAAGTAAAAAGCTTAAAAGAAAAAAATGAGTAACTAGTATATTAAGGATTGAATGATTTTCAGCTCTTCCTGACATGGTAACATTTGCTGTTAACTTCTTGCACTCTGGTTAAGCAGGCTGCTCTTTGAAATACAGGGCCTTACAGTCATGCTAGGAATATCCCTGCATTTAGTTAGATGAACGGAGCAGGTTGCATATTTAAGTCGGCACTGCTGGCACTGTGACTAGCTGCTCCTGTTTCTAGGGATTTATTTGTAATACTATGCAAATAAAATGCTTTACTAATGGTCAGCGCTGTTCGTAAGAAGACTCAGGGTTTTACAGATACTAGAATTGCTGCTTTTTTTTAACAGGTGAGGAAAGTGTCCGTCGACAAGTAATCTTACTTTTAACAGACCAACAGCTGAATCAAAAATAAAGGGCGCATCTCATGAATCCTGCTTTGCATTTACCTTCAGTAGGTGCTCTGTGAGAATTTGGTAGAACTTCGTACAATGAAATTGCAAACTAAGGAGGGACGGGACTGCACATCTGTCGGGAGGTAGAAAACCAAGAGAGGCTGTCCCAGGGTTCAGGTTGTCTGAGCTGGGAACAGCTACGCTCTGCTGCTTTCATTTCTTTTTCTGATCTATCCTCCAATACATTTTCTAAGCGGCGAGGTTTTAGTTTTGGAAATCAGTCCTGTATGGAATGCTGGTGGTTTATTTATAAAAACACATCTAGCACTTGCCAAGCTCAACGACGACTATGGAGAAAAGCGTAACAGAGGGGGGCCAATGTAGGAGAGGCATATGATCATTACAGAGCTGAAATGCAACAAAAATAGCTGAACAATTTAAGAGACAGCCAAATAATTTCTGTGCTGGCTCTGTACAGCTAAACCCACCTCACCCTAAGAAGTAATGCAACTTAATAAGTTGCTCAAATAACCACAGTCCTAGAGAGAGAGATGGAGGCTGTGACTGAAGCCCATAGCTCGAGTCTGGGGCGTTTTGAGGCCAGGATTCAGCCGGTGCTGCTTTGCCTAATCTAGAAATGACAGTTCCCATTTCCAGGGTAACAAAAAGCTCGTGTGACATCCCCGGTAGATGGTAGATCTACAGATGCTAATGCTGCTGTAGAAATTGCTTGTAAAGCTGTGGTAATAAAACACAGCTGTCAGAACGCACCCGAAGTTGCAGAAGGGCTTAAAAGTCCATTTTTCATACTAATATGATGACGTCTGCTGGAACTCGGGTGTCACCCTGATCCTAGAGAGAGAGATGCATGGTTTTGGCTGTCCTCTGAGCAAATAACTGGTGAGATTCAGTCAAACTGCTCCAGCAAATGCAGCACAACTTGTGCTGATGTATTTGTAGGAGGGCTCACGAGCTGGATGCAGCCTCTCCTGACCTCGCCGACTTCCCAGGAACTCTGCACACTAAAGGTAAACCCAAGGAAAGTATGTACGGATTTCGCGTTTTCTTTTTTTTCCCAAACACCCTTGTGATAAGTATCTGTTCCTGGCTCTGTTGAAGACAGGATACTGGACTAGACAGGCTTGCCTAACACATTAAGGACACGGGGAAGTCCATCAGAACTTGCCGTGCACAGATGAAGTACCCAAGAAAACAGTGTCTAAGCCGGAAAGCTTTACCCTTGTGACAGCTAGAGCCAGGGGAACGTAAGCTGCTTGTGCCTTTTTAAAGAATTTGACTCTTGCAGGCTAAGGTTGCGGCCCGTACCGGAGGGCAGGAGGGACGGCTGGCTCTGTGACTGTGCCCGTCTGATGTAGACTGAAGCGGTCCCAGATCTGGCCACCTTTCAGCAGCAGGATTAGTATTTTCGACATTGCCCGATATGGTGCCCAGCAAGCCATCCTACTGCTCCCCAGCTGCTGCAACTGTTGTTGAGCAGCAAACATTTGAAGAATGACTGTTCTTCAGAGGCGGTGTCTCGAGTGGATGAAATGGAACAACTTGAACGTGTTCTTAGTGCAAAGCAGTAAAGGTTTTTATCCGGCACTTCTTGGGCATCACATCCATCCTGGGTAGAAACTGCCACGGAGGAGTAATGGTGTTGCTATTTGCTTATCAGTTGTGGTAAACATTAAAAGCTGCTCCGAGAAATTTCACGTCGCTAAAGTGCTGTTTCATAATGGTTTATAAGCGGCTCTTGGAGCTCACCTCTGCCGGAAGCAGGCGGTGATTCACTGGCGGTTCGGCTGTTCGCTCTGCAATGCTCAACTGCTCTGCACTGCACCCGTATCGACAAACAAACCTCCGTGATGCCAGACTCCGTGTCTGTGATAACAGCATTTAGTTCTCCATGATGTTTTCAGCGTAATATGCTAATGTTATTAAATTAGGAACCCTCTGGGTCTCCAGGTTCAAGCTGTGGAGGCATCTTAGGAAAGGGTTTTGAAATCAAGGTAGCTGACTGCATTAACTGACTCTTGCGTTAAATTCGAGGGAGATGGGATTTTGTCTAGAAACCCAAGAAATCAGGAATGTTTAGGCAACCAGAGCTTGTATGGA